GTGGGCTACCATGGAGCTGACATGAGCTCCCCAATCTTCCTGAGTGCACCCCGGTGGGCGAGGCAGAGCACTCTGCCCATGAATACGCTGGGCATGACCAGGCATCCCGGTTCTACCTGCAGGGTAGTAGGTTCAAGGTGGAGGGGTCTTGTATCTAATAAAGCTCACTGAAAGTGTGTGTGGGGAACCTTCTAGGCCCCATAATAACATCACATTAAAATAGGTGTCATTTTACTAGAAAAATGTCTCAACAGTTTTGCTCTGTATGTTAATAATTCAGGGCCTCAGTCAGCCAGTGACAGGGTGGTGAAGGAGGCTGGATCTCACGTGGTCAGCTGTGCAGTTCGTGTCAGACCCAGTGGCTTGAGAAACAAACCAGGCAAGTGTGCAGGCGAGCCCAAAATCCTGAGGGGAAATGGAGAAGGGATTACGGTATGGACACACACCCCACCAGGGGGTGCTTTCATATTTTCTCTCTCACTCTTTGTCTTTATCTGAACAACAATTTCGAACAAACAAACAAAATACTGGTGCCGCTATGTTGTCCTGTGTTTAAGGGAGCCAGGTCCCACATGTTTAATCCAAATGGTTCAAATCTCAACCCTGGAAGCTTCAGTCACATGCCCCGCATGTGTGCATACATGCCCAAAGTCCCAACAAGATGGAGAAACCCAGGAGAAGGGGCGGCGGAGTGACCATAGCCCACGAGGAGGTGTTTTCACGCTCTCCCTCTCTGCTTTTGCTTCTGCTAAGCACATTCAGTTCCTGGCAAAGACCCATGTGTGCGTGTGTGACTAAAATCCTCAGAGGAGAATGGAGGAGAAGGGACTGCCATGTGGACATCCCCCCTGAGGTGCGATTTCTCACGTTCCCTCTTTTTCTCTGGCACATGCATGTCACCCAATGGCAAAATCCTAAAAAAAAAAAAAAGAGAAAAAAAATTGAGTCAGGAAGTAATGTAGAAATAAAAATTACATTTTGTGATATTCTTAAGAATGCAGATATCGGTCAATCTCACATCACAAATAAGGTTCCTGGACTTGCTCAATATATAGCCAAGATGGTATCAGATTTCTACTTTTAGGACATAATTATTGCCTAGACCTTCCTCCTTTGATCACGTGGCCCTGTATCACTTTCTAACTAATGGATGTCCCTCTTTAAAAAATTTTAGTTGCCTTCTATAATTTAGAAACTTTGTCCTGACAAACTCTCACACTTGCCCGTTTTCATTGGGACACAATCTTAAGTTGACCCAAATCTGCTTTACTCAGTCTATAACCCTTCTAAGATCCCAAATAAAGTTCTTCCTTCCCCACAGATTCTGCACTTGAGATCGATCGGTATCTGGACTGTCCTCCTGAGCACGTCTCCTCTGTGGTGTCCCCAGGTCCCTCCAGGGTCCCAGCACCCCAGATGTGGGAAGGCAGCTTTCTCTCTGCTCCTCCTGGTCCTTGGTCCACACACAGGAGGTTCCCCTAGTCCTCCTACTCAAGGTGTGGCTCTGCTGACTACGTTAGAGGGGAGGACACTGGGGCTGGGGAAGGGCCTCTGGAAAGGCGGCTTCTCGGGCTCACCCCAACCTGCAGAATGCGAGTTGCCATTTCACCAGGTCCTCAGGGTTTCAGGCACATTAGTCTGATAAGCAGAGTCCACAGCCCTCAGGGTTTTGGCCCAGGAGGCAGAGGTCAGACCTGGGCAGGTGGGAGATTGTGCAAGAATTGTTCCTTCCCTTCCTCATTCTTGTCCCTGTCACATCAGCTGCCACCCCTTAGCTTGGGTCTTAAAAGGCTGGCAGCCCCAGAGTCCCACAGTAGCCCTTCTCTCAAGGTCAGGAAGATGAACCGGCTCTGCCTCTCTGTGGCTTTCCTGGTCCTCCTGGGCACCCTGGGGGTGAGCGCCCTCGAGGTCACCAACCACAAGAGCAAGACCAATGTCCCTTCCCAAGGTAAGTGCTGGCTAAGTTTCCTCTGTGGTCTGCAGGCAGACAATGAGGGAGCTGGGACTCTCCTTGGGTCTTACCTGGGAAGGTAGGAGATTTTTACTCCAGGGACATTCCATGCTCTACAAAACTCACCGTGATGTTTTCAGCTTTATCCAAATTGTCACACCAAGTGCTCATGGGGCAGCTGGACCTGCCGCGGGGCCCTGTCTGAGCCTCCCCTGCTCCTGCTCTCTGCTCTCTGCTCTCTGCTCTCTGCTGCCCCTGGTCCCAGCCCTCCCCCGAGCCTCACTGTGGTGTAATAACAAGTGCTGGGCCTGGGCTCACTGTACTGAACAGAGCTCCTGAGCCCTGCGTGTCCCCAGCTCTGTGCGCTATTTCTCAGCTCAAAGTACCTGTGAGGCATCAGGATGGGGCTGTTACCTTTAAGCAGGTGAGCAAGGGTTAGAGCTTTTATCCCCAGCCCTGACCCCAGTGAGGAAGCCCTAACCCTGGGGAGGGAGAGGGGCTGAGATGGAGTTCAGTCCCCACCAGCGGCTGAATTCCTCAGTCACACCTTTAAGGAAACGGAATGAAACCCTAAACTGTGGTTTTGGAGAGTTACATGGGGGGTGACCATATAGACACACTGGGAGGGAGGTCACCCCAGAGAAGCATGGAGCCCCCACCCTTGCCCTGTGGGTCTCTTCCCCGTGGGCTCTTCCTGAAGTGTGTTCGTTATAAAAAGCTGGCAACAGGAAGCTGAGTGCTCTCCAGATTTCTGGCTCAGTCTGTGAATTAATACCTTTGAGGAGCCCCAAATTTATAAGGCAGTCCATGAGAAGGATGAGTGACCCCGGGAATGTGAAGGTGTCTGAAGTGGGGCAGTCCTGTGGGTCTGAGCCCTCGGCTGTGGGGTCTGTGCTAACACTGGGGGAGTGAGTGTCAGAAGTGAATTCATTGTCGGGCACCTGGCTGGTGTATGGTTGGTGTTGGAAAAGATACCCCGTATTTGGTGTTAGGAATCAACCCTGCAGACTCACTTCTCTCTGTCCTTTGGTTTTCCGGGGTGAGGCTCAGGCACAGGGAATAAGAAAGTTGGGGCAGTGCCCTGGGGACCCTTACCAGTCACCTGCATGGTCACAACTCCCTGTCACAGTTGATGCTTCAGTTGGGTTGATGCTTCATTCCTGGTGCTGGCCTCACTCCTCCCAGCTGTGTGACCTGGGGCCAGTCTCTGGTGCCCCGTTTCCTCCCCTGTCTGGAGGGGAAGCCCCCACACAGTTCCCTGAAAGGATTACCCCTGAGGGACAGAAAGCGCAGGCGCACCTGATGGCCCACTGTGTCCTTCTTTTACCAACAGGTCTTATTCTCAAATACTGCGTCTCCCTACCTCTTCCCTACAGGGAGAAGATCAGGTGTCGAATAACGATTTTTTAATACCCATTATGAAAACCTGTGAGAAACTTTAAAAATTAACCAATTATTGATCTGTAGAACATATTGTTTATGTGTATATTTTTCTACATTTTTCTTTCTGAAATTTTTTGAAGCAAAGTTCAGGCATTATGCCAATCAATGCATAATAATTCAGTAAGGACATAGAGAATTTTCATTGTCACCGTATCATTGTTACCCCTAACAATGGTTATTGGAATGCCCCAGAAAGCAGGCCATCGCCTGCAGGCTACCACTTCCACTTCTGGTATTCGCTATTTCTGGACACGCCTGTTGTTGCCATTGCTCGCTGTGTCGACTGTGCTGGTGGCCGTCCTCCGAGCTGACAAGGGCCCTCTCTCTTCCCTTCAGCCTCACACCCTTCGTACTGCCTTGCACCTCCCCCCATCCATATGCAGACCAGGTATTACTACAACCCCAGCGCCAAGCTCTGCCTGCCTTTTACGTACTGCCAGTCTGCAGAGTATAAGAACAACTTCCTGACGAAGGACGAATGCGTCAAGACCTGCGCTGATGTATAACCAGGACTCTGAGCCCGGGGTAAGGTGCAGAGATGGCAGGAGGGCTGGTTTGGGGAAAGGAGGAGAATTCAGGGGCCTGCTACCCTCAAACCTCATGGTGTGTCTCCTCTGACCCGATAGTTCTCAAGCATTTCAAGGAGTAAATGAAAATGTTTGCATGAAACCACAGGTCAGGCACTTCCTGCATGAGCCAGACAGGCAGAGATCATGGCTTGAAGGGGCCCCGAGACCTCTGAGCTGCTTCACCTGCTCCCCTTCCCCAGATGGGGTCACTGAGGCAGCCTCCCTGCTCTGTGGGGCTGCCGTGCTCCTGAGCCGTCTCTACCCCAGCTTGGTGAACTCACTTCCTTCTGCCGGTCACCCTGCCTGTGGGGAGGACCAGCTTGCTCATTTCTGGATGGTCCAGGATCTTTCAGGGCATATTGCCACCAGTTCAAAGGCTTCAATGATGACAGTCACCTAGTTCCTTTCTCTTTGCAGGGAACCTGGCACCTGGGCTGCCCTGAGATTCTGATGTCTGAGGAGACCCACTCAGGGCTGGCTGCGGTGCCCTCTGAATCAGCTCAGCCCCTTCCTGCTTCCTTCACCCCCGTCCTTTTCAGCATAGCCCTGCCTCCCTCCTCGCCCCATGGTTTCATTTGTGTTAGCGCTATCTCATTCAATAAACTCTGAGCACATGAAAGCAAGAACAGCGTGCCTGTTTATTTCATCCCAATGTCCCTCACTCAGCACAGATCCTGGCACAGAGTCAGTCCAAGAATATTTTGGAATGTACGAATGAGTGCATGAGCACATGTCTGCCCAGGACTGGCTCTAGGACTGGGGTGGGAACTAGATGCTTGAACCCTAACCCTCATCTTCACATCATCCTCACCTTCATTTTTACCCCCACCATCACTGGCATCATGTGGGGTGTCAGGGTGGTCTCTGGCACCTAGTTAGCGTCAGCTAGGCTGAGTAGTGGCAGCAGGGGTGTCTTCATTAAAGAATTTGCCTCCCTCTATGATGTGGGACATTTTCCTGTCCATGTAACACCAACGTTTGTCTCTTAGGCCTTGTGTTCAAATGCATTTGTTGTCTCATTAAACTAAGCTGAGTGGATCCAGCTGTTTGCAAGTCAGATCTGAAACCAACACTGTCCATGAACATGGTGCTTCTTCCTGCTACTCTGCAGAGTAGGGGCACTTCTCCTTCTCCTGCCTGTAGCCTGGGCCCTACCACGTAAGGAACAAAACCCATCACAGCAGCATCTACTTCTGAATGGCCACCCCAGATACACAATATCCTGGGGGGACACTTCATCAGTAAAGGTTTTTTGTATTTTTAAAATCTTTTGGAGACATGTTCTGTGCAGCAAGACCTATGCTGGGAGGTAACCAAGATCCAGAATAGGCGGTAAGGTGAGAATAGCCAGGAAGGAAGGACTGGGGAAAACAGGTAGAGGTCAGAACCCACATCCCTCACACCTGCATGGTGTGTCTCCTCTGACAATGAGGGCCTTGCCTCTCCCCAACATTCTCAGAGCTGTCTCACTTTCTTACCTATCTGCTGCTCTTCCTGAACCTCCCCCTCTCCCCTCTGGAACTCAGTGCCAGTCCAGTCCCCCGGCTGCCTCCGTAAAGATGGATGCCCATCTCCTGGCTACCCTCTGGCTAGCTCAGAGTGTTAAGCAACTGGGGAGATTCCATGTGTTTGCATTGTACCTCCTTGTGTGCACAAGTCAGTGAGCCTCATCATTCTAAAATCACCTCCACCAGCTACCCTAGGACCCTTCAGGTCTTAATGTAATTGAATAGCCAGGGTCCAGTAACAAATTGCGAATGTCCTGGGAGAGAGCTCTCTCCTTGTCTGTCTTATTATGGAATCCAGCTCCTCCCTGAGGGTGTGGGACCTCACAGTGGTTACCACTGCAGCTTTCCCATTCAGATGGACCTAGGTTTGCCAAGTTAGTGTTTCTGGGCCTCAGTGTCCTCATCTGTGCTGGGGGGCTGTTTATAAATCCCACCTTCATGTAGGGGGTTACTGTGAGTTGTATTTGGGACAAATGATGCAGAGTGTTGAGCTCTGTGCTCAGGAAGAGCAAACGCTCAGTAGTTCAGGTTACTGACTGTCCTCACCATCGAACACGACTCCCGGGAGAAGGTCTGGATGTGACCTCATGCTGGAGAAGTCCCCTTGTTTCTCTGAAGCTGAGGTTCAAGAAGCCAAGAGCTGGGCAATGACTTGATTAAAAGATTTGAATCCCTTTGTAACTACTTTTCTGTTTTTTTTTTTTCCCTCTGGCCTTTAAGAAGGTTGGTTATTTCAGAATGTCAGATAAACACACACAGGAGTGACCTGTCCCCTAGTCACCACGTGTGTGATCTCTGGAACCCAAGGATTTCAATATTTTTGGAGGGGTTGGAGGGCAGGCAATTCACAAAAGGTCTCATGCATTCCCAAGAGGAGTGGCGAAACTGCAGTCCCTTCTCCTCCATTCTCCCCCTGGGGTTTTGAGCACACACCTGCATCCTGTGTGATTTTCAAGCCTCCACGTCAGGGGCTCAAACCGCAGTACTGTGGTCAGGGGCTCAAACCGCAGTACTGAGCTCGAGCCCTCTGTTCCGTCAGATTTCAGATGGGCTTTTCTTCCTGTCTCCATTGTCCGTCAATAGCAACAGAGCATCTGACTTCCTCAAGAGCCATTGTGCTCATAAAGCGGTGACTGTGTGCACCTGCAGCTTAGCCAGCCTGCGGTCAGCACCACACTGGGACCCCAGGGTGGACTGCCACGGACCCAGCAGAGGGTGGGCTCTCCTCACTCGTCCTCAGCCTGCTAAGCATGCCTGCTCACGTCATGACCTGCACTGGTGGGGACTGGGCGTGAATGGTGGCCTGGAGACCCTTTGGGGTGTCTCTGTCTCTCTCATTTATTCCCTCTCTCAGATGAAACAAATAAGTAAATATTTAAAAATATTGCAAAGTATGGCAAACACCCAAGAAAGGACCTGGTGTAGAAGAAATGCTTAAATGGGACAGTCATGTGGCATTAGGCTTAAGGCACTGGATTTTCACATGGCTGACTGTGGTTTGAGTCCTGGACCTGGTGGCTTCCTTTCTCACTTTCCCTCTCTCACCCTCTTTCTCTCTCTCTGTTGAGCTCCTGTGCCCTATAGCAAACTTAAATATAAGTATAATAATAAATAAATAATTTAAAAAGCAATGCTTCAACAATGATAAGTTTGAAAAAGGACACATAAATGATGCTCTCTGGCCCTTCCTACCCCTGCAGTTAATCTCAAGTCCCAAACTCCCAGGAGAGGACCTTCCTCATCCTTGTCCAGGGCCAGTTTCTTATAGTGTGGGCCCATGCAAAGGCTATTACAATAATACTTTTCTTCTTAATATTTTTTTAAGTTCTATTTTTATTACACTTTCATTTCTTGGTACTATTATTATTATTTTGTTTGTTTTAAGGGAGATTTTTGCTATACGGCACGTGTGCTCGCCAGAGACCTAGAGAGACAGAGAAAGTGACAAATCACTACCCAGGAGAATGCCATGCCCCGATATCATCTCCTACATTCTCCTTTTGAGGTTTTACCCATGCACTAGTAAAGTTTGAAGCCGCCAGGCCCGGTTCTTGAACTGTATTCTACTGTGTGGAAGTCCAGCCCCTTAACCACTATGCCACCTGCTGCCCCCTTGATGTCATTCTTTTCTGCTCCACCAAGGCCTGGTTGCTTCCTGAGCCCTTTACCATCAATCTGAACAGTCTCTTCAAAAAACACGGAGGGCTTCATGAACTTGCTTGTCATCCTTGCACAGAGGCCCTGCTAGTCTCCTCTGTGAGTTACAGTGATGCTTCTACAACTCAGCGTCCGTAGAGTGCGAACATCGTATCTCGGTGGTTGCCGGACAATACCAGCAGTTTTGAAACCTAGAGATATACTCCAGTGAGACTTCTAGATCCAGGAGGAGTAACGGCGGTGATAAGGTGGTGGACGTGTGAAGAGATCGTGTGGGAGAGGATGATGGGGTCAATATGGGAGACGTGGATGATGGCATAATTACAGGAGTGGGGGCCTGGTAACAATGGGAGGACCTGTACCCGGGGTGGTGGTGGTAATGAGGGTGCCAGGTCTTAGGTAGCAAGGCTGCGGTTAGGGACAGTGTGGGTGGAAAGTGATAGAGATTATTCTGTTCAGGCCTCTTAAAATAAGTGGTGGTGGGAAAGGGGAGGAGAGCGATGTTACCTTCCCAGAGGACGGTCACGTTGATAGAGGTGATGAAAGAACTATGGCAGTGATAAGGCCAGAGGTGACAGTGATGAGGGGGGCCTGTGGGATGGTCGGTGTTGAACGGGCTGGGTAAAGAGTCCAGCTGGATGACTTGGCTCCAGGCCACCAACAGGTCAGCCAGAAAGGGAGCGGACCGTCCTCTCCACTTCAGAGACCAAGGTGCAGGGCAGCGTGGTTCTGACCATCCAGCCTCTCCCTAGGTCCCTCCTGGGAGGTGGCTGGGTGGCAGCAGCATCTTGTCCTGTGCACCATTTCTCCACAGGCAGGCTGTGAGCAACCTGAGGACAGGGCTGGAGAGGTCCTCTGTGGACCATGTACGCCCCATGGACAGTGCCCACACCACGGGGCTGACATGAGCGCCCCGATCCTCCTGAGTGCACCCAAAGGGTGAAGCAGTGCCCTCTGTCTGTGAGTATGCCAGGAATGATGGTGCTGGGTGGTGGGACAGGGGGAGTCTTCCAAATAAAAAAGCTCACTGAACATGGGGAAAACCCACCTGGGTCCCATAACATCACATTAAACTACGTGTCCTTTTCCCAGAAAAATGTCTCAGCAGAGGTCTCCACAGGAGCTGGACTGGAGCTGGCTTCTTCAGACTCCCGCTGGCTTCTTCAGACTCCCGCCAGACATTTAGCGCCACAGCCCCTGCCACTCCCTATTACTGCCCTAAAATTTGTTCCTGTTCCTTTTCCTGCACTCCTGATTTCTGACAGAGGGGTTAAGAGGAACAGAAGACCTATTCCCATCCCTCTGTCAGTGCTTTTACAACTTTACTGGTTTGGGGAGTTACTGAGTTGTAGACCTGCCCATATCCCCAACCAAAGCAATTTGTCTTAAACAGAGATCTAGCTCTGGAAGCCAATTGTAGCCCACAGATAGGTTGTCTTTGGCCTTTATGGAACATTATATAACGAGTGCTATTTCTTTCTTTATTATGAAGGATGTATGGGGGAGTTGGCCTCTTTTTAAAATTTGCTACAGGGTGCATGCAATTGCAGGAGAGACAGAACAAAAGAAAGAGAAAGTGAGGAAACCCCCCCAGGTGAATAGCTACGCCACAGTCTTCTCCGTTCTCCTCGCGGGACTTCGGGCACATACACACACACACCTGGCATGATTATCAAGCCACCAAGCCCAGGACTCAAACCACTTACTCAGCCATGTGAGATAAACTGTCCTAACCCCCACGGCACCTGCTAGTCCAGTGTGTATGAAAATTTTTAAAGTTAATTTATTGTGTTCATGGTAGAGAGGGGTTAGTATGCAAAACAGGAGGGAGAAAAGGACAGGGACCTCGAAAGGTATTGTCCTTTCTTGACCCACCCTCCCAGCACTCCAGCTTGTCGGGAGTTGAGGCTCATGTATGTGCCCGGTGCGTTTCAGGTCAGCCAGGCCAGCCATCTCCATGTCAAGGGTGAAATCACCCGATGCCCAGTCCAGCCGATGTCCTGAACTGGATGCCAGACTCCACCCTGACATCCCCAAGATCCAGCAGTGGTGGGGGGAAATGAAGGTGAGGACCAGGGCTAGAGACTGGTTCACACCCCAGTTTCAGAGCCAGTCCTGGGCAGAGACAAGCTCGTGCATTTGTTCGTCCATCCCACAATATCCGTGGACGGTCTCCTTTGTGCCAGGATCTGTGCTAAGTGAGGGACAATGAGGTGAAATAAACAGAGGGACACGGCTCAGCTTCCATGGTGCTGTAAGTTTATAAATGAGACTGCGCTAACACAAGGGAGCCCACAGACAAAGGAGGCAGGCAGTGCTGAGAAGGTCGGGGTGTGAAGGGGGCAGGAAGGGGCTGAGCTGCCTCAGACTTCAGCATCTCAGGGCAGCCCAGGTGCCAGATTCTCTGCAATGAGAAAGGAACTAGTTGACCCATGACTGAAGCCTTTGACCCGGAGCACTGTTTGCCCTGAAAGATCCTGGACCATCCAGAAATGAGCAAGCTGGTCCTCCCGATGGCCAGGGTGACTGGCAGGAGGAAGTGAATTCCCCAAGCCTGGGTAGAGGTGGCTCAGGAGCACTTGGCCAGGGTGACTGGCAGGAGGAAGTGAGTTCCCCAAGCCTGGGTAGAGGCGGCTCAGGAGCACTGCAGCCCCATGGTGCAGGGAGGCTGCCTCAGTGATCCCCTCTGAGGAAGGGGTACAAGTGTAACAGCTCAGAGGTCTCGGGGACCCCTTCAAGCCATAATCTCTGCCTGCCTGGCTCATGCAGGAAGCGTTTTCATGTACTCCTTGAAGTGCTTGAGAGCCATCAGGTCAGAGGAGACACACCGTGGGGTCCGAGGGCAGTAGGCCCCTGAATTCTCCCTCCTTCCCCAAACCAGCCCTCCTGCCATCTCCCCACCTTACCCCAGGCTCAGAGTCCTGGCTACATCTTAGCGCAGGTCTTGAGGCAGTCGTCCTTCGTCAGGAAGTGGTTCTTATGCTCTGCAGACTGGCAGTACGTAAAAGGCAGGCAGAGCTTGGAGCTGGGGTTGAAGTAGTACCTGGTCTCCAGATTGAGAGGGGGAGGTACATGGCAGTGCGGATGGTGACCACTGTGTAAGGCTGAAGGGAAGACAGAGGGCCCTTGTCAGCTCGGAGGACGGCCACCAGCACAGTCGGCACAGCGGGTAATGGCAACAACAGGCGTGTCCAGCAACAGCGAATAGCAGAAGTGGAAGTGGGAGCCTGCGTGCGGGTGATGGCCTGCTTTCTGGGGCATTCCAATAACCATTGTTAGGGGTAACAATGATACGGTGACAATGAAAATTCTCTATGTCCTTACTGATATTATGCATCGATTGGCATAATGCCTGAGCTTTGATTCAAAAGATTCCAGAAAGAAAAATGTAGAAAAAGATACACATAAACAATATTTTTCATAGGTCAATAGATGGTTTATTTTTAAAGTTTCTCACTGGTTTTCATAATGGAGATTAAAAAATCATTATTCAGGGGCAGGTAGGAGGCATGCTGATTAAAAACGCTGGACTCCCACATGGCAGATCGTGGTTCCAGTTCTGGACCTAGAGACTTGCTTTCTCACCCCGCCCTCCTCCCTGTCTCTCTCACTCTGTTCCTCTTGGGTCAAACTATAATACATAAATAAATAAAGCTGAATAAAATACTTAAAAAAATCGTTATTCGACACCTGATCTTCTCCCTGTAGGGAAGAGGTAGGGAGACGCAGTATTTGAGAATAAGACCTGTTGGTAAAAGAAGGGCACAGTGGGCCATCAGGTGCGCCTGCGCTTTCTGTCCCTCAGGGGTAATCCTTTCAGGGAACTGTGTGTGGGCTTCCCCTCCAGACAGGGGAGGAAACGGGGCACCAGAGACTGGCCCCAGGTCACACAGCTGGGAGGAGTGAGGCCAGCACCAGGGACGAAGTATCAACCCAATCACCTAGGGGCCGACTGACAGGGAGTGGTGACCATGCAGGTCAGGGTCCCCGGAGCACTGTCCCAGCTCTCATGTCCTGTCCCCAAGTCTCACCCCAGACACTAAGGGACAGAGAGAAGTGAGTCTTGAGGGTTGATTCCTAACACCAAATACGGGGTATCTTTTCTAACACCAACCATTCGACGAAGTATCAACCCAATCACCTAGGGGCCGACTGACAGGGAGTGGTGACCATGCAGGTCAGGGTCCCCGGAGCACTGTCCCAGCTCTCATGTCCTGTCCCCAAGTCTCACCCCAGACACTAAGGGACAGAGAGAAGTGAGTCTTGAGGGTTGATTCCTAACACCAAATACGGGGTATCTTTTCTAACACCAACCATTCTACCCCAGCCGGGTGCCCGACAATGAATTCACTTCTGACACTCACTCCCCCAGTGTTAGCACAGACCCCACAACCGAGAGCTCAGACCCACAGGACTGCCCACTTCAGAACCAGTCACATTCCCGGGGCCACTCATCCTTCTCATGAACTGCCCTATAAATTTGGGGCTCCTCAAGGGTATTAATTCACAGACTGAGCCAGAAATCTGGAGAGCACTCGGCTTCCTGTTGCCAGCTTTTTATAACGAACACACTTCAGGAAGAGCCCACGGGGAAGAGACCCACAGGGCAAGGGTGGGGGCTCCATGCTTCTCTGGGGTGACCTCCCTCCCAGTGTGTCTATATGGTCACCCCCCATGTAACTCTCCAAAACCGTTCAGAGGTTTTATTCAGTTTCCTTAGGAAGCTGTGACTGAGGAATTCAGCCGCTGGTGGGGACTGAACTCCATCTCACTCTCTCTCCCTCCCCAGGGTCAGGACTGGGGATAAGAGTTCTAACCCTCTGCTCATCTGCTTGGTCTTTAAAGGTAATAGCCCCCTTCGATGCCTCACAGGTGCTTCGAGCTGGGAAATAGCACACAAAGCTGGGGACACACAGGGCTCAGGAGCTCTGTTCAGGACAGCGAGCCCAGGCCCAGCACTTGTTACTACACCACAGTGAGGCTCAGGGGAGGGCTGGGACCAGGGGCTGCAGAGAGCAGAGAGCAGGAGCAGGGGAGGCTCAGACAGGGCCCCCGCGGCAGGCCCAGCTGCCCCCTGAGCACTTGGTGTGACAATTTGGATAAAGCTGAAAACATCACGGTGAGTTTTGTAGAGCATGGAATGTCCCTGGAGTAAAAATCTCCTACCTTCCCAGGTAAGACCCAAGGAGAGTCCCAGCTCCCTCATTGTCTGCCTGCAGACCACAGAGGAAACTTAGCCAGCACTTACCTTGGGAAGGGACATTGGTCTTGCTCTTGTGGTTGGTGACTCTGAGGTGTGCATGAAGCCAGCTCATGGGCCAGTGCTCTCCCAATCAGCGTCTGTGGGGAGTGAAGGATGCAGGAATGGGCGGAAGGAGAAGTAGTGTGGTTTAGGAAAGGCCTCAGTCATGCGGTGCGGGCTCTGGATCTGGAATGACCTTCCAGGGTTGACCCAAATGAGTCACATGGTTTGGGACTTTATTATCATTATTATTTTTTGCCACAGGGTGCATGCGCTCGCTGGAGAGAGACACAGAAAGACAGAGACAGGGAAAATGAGAAATCACTCCTCAGGTGGGATGGCCATGCTGTAATCCCTTCCCCTCCAGTCTCCTCTCAGGATTTTGGGTGCATGTGCAATGCACCTGGTGTGATTTTCAAGCAGCTGGGTCTGGGACCTGAATCACAGTCAGCCATATGGGACCTGGGGACACCACAGAGGAGACGTGCTCAGGAGGACAGTCCAGATACCGATCGATCTCAAGTGCAGAATCTGTGGGGAAGGAAGAACTTTATTTGGGATCTTAGAAGGGTTATAGACTGAGTAAAGCAGATTTGGGTCAACTTAAGATTGTGTCCCAATGAAAACGGGCAAGTGTGAGAGTTTGTCAGGACAAAGTTTCTAAATTATAGAAGGCAACTAAAATTTTTTAAAGAGGGACATCCATTAGTTAGAAAGTGATACAGGGCCACGTGATCAAAGGAGGAAGGTCTAGGCAATAATTATGTCCTAAAAGTAGAAATCTGATACCATCTTGGCTATATATTGAGCAAGTCCAGGAACCTTATTTGTGATGTGAGATTGACCGATATCTGCATTCTTAAGAATATCACAAAATGTAATTTTTATTTCTATATTACTTCCTGACTCAATTTTTTTTTCTTTTTTTTTTTTTTTTGGGTTTTTCCCTTTGGGGAACACGATCCAGAGAAAAGGAGGGAACGTGAGAAATCGCACCTCAGGGGGGATGTCCACATGGCAGTCCCTTCTCCTCCATTCTCCTCTGAGGATTTTAGTCACACATGTACATGAGTCTTTGCCAGGAACTGAATGTGCTTAGCAGAAGCAAAGGCAGAGAGGGAGAATGTGAAAGCACCTCCTCGTGGGCTGTGGTCACCCCGCCGTCCCCTCTCCTGGGTTTCTCCATCTTGTTGGGACTTTGGCATGTATGCACACATGCGGGGCATGTGACTGAAGCTTCCAGGGTTGAGATTTGAACCACGTGAATTAAACATGTAGGATCTGGTTCTCTTAATCACAGGACAACATAGCTGGACTAATAGTTTTTTTGTTTTGTTTTGTTTTTGCAATGTGTTATAGGGCTTGTGTGTTCTTTAAAGACAGAGTGAGAGAGAACATATGAAAGCACCCCCTGGGGGGGTGTGTGCCCATACCGTAACCCCTTCTCCATTTCCCCTCAGGATTTTGGGCTCGCCTGCACACTTGCCTGGTTTGTTTCTCAAGCCACTGGGTCTGACACTTGAACTGCACAGCTGACCACGTGGGATCCAGCCTCCTTCACCATCCTGTCACTGGCTGACTGAGGCCCTGAATTATTAACATACAGAGCAAAACTGTTGAGACATTTTTCTAGTAAAATAACACCTATTTTAATGTGATGTTATTATGGGGCCTAGAAGGTTCCCCACACACACTTTCAGTGAGCTTTATTAGATACAAGACCCCTCCACCTTGAACCTACTACCCTGCAGGTAGAACCGGGATGCCTGGTCATGCCCAGCGTATTCATGGGCAGAGTGCTCTGCCTCGCCCACCGGGGTGCACTCAGGAAGATTGGGGAGCTCATGTCAGCTCCATGGTAGCCCACAGGCACTGTCCATGGGATGTGCAAGGTTTACAGATGCCCTCACCAGCCCCGTCCTCAGGTTGCTCACAGCCTAGTTGGGGAGAAATGATGCATAGGACAAGATGCAGCTGCCACCCAGCCACCTCCCAGGAGGGACCTAGGGAGAGGCCTGGATGGTCAGAACCACCCTGCCCTGCACCTTGGTCTCTTTAGTGGAGAGGACGGTCAGCTCCCTTTCTGGCTGGCCTGTTGGTGACCTGGAGCCAGAGTCATCCAGTTGGACTCTTCGCCCAGCCCTTTCAACACTTGCCAACCCCCAGACCCCCTCATCACTGTCACCTCTGGGCTTCTCACTGCCATAGTCATTTCATCGCCCCTACCAACATGACTGTCCTCTGGGAAGGTGACATTGCTGTACTCACCTTTCTCACCACCCCCACATATATTTAGAGGCCTGAGTAGAATAATCCATACCACTCTCATCTTTCCATCCATGCTCCTCCATTGCAGCCTTACTGCCTTGTGACCCAGCACCCCATTACCACTACCAGTCCAGGTAGCAGGTCCTCCCATTGTGACCACGTCCCTCTCTCCCATATTGACATCTTCGTCCACATCTCCCATACTGACTCCCATCATCCTCTCCGGCATGGTAACTTCACACGTCCACCACTTACCACTACCGTTACTCTTCCTGGATCTAGAAGAGGGCTCGATGGGGTTTGCATATCCCCAGTGTAGCTCTCGGTTTCAAAACTGCTGGCATTGAGACCAACACATAGAGTAATGGTTATGTTGCTGGATTCTCACCGAGCTGACTGCTGTCTGAGTCCTGGACCTTGTGGCTTAAAACTCATGTCTGGTGAGTGTGCTTGTGTGCTCAAAATCCCAAGAGGTTAATGGAGGGAAGGCATTGCCATGTGATACATATGCCCTATAATAAAAATCTCACCACAAAAAAACCCCACAAAAATTCCCTAGTGGGATTGCCTAGACAATCACTGGAGATACTCCGGGTTTATAAGTATTGTAACATACAGAAATGATTGGCATGGCCCGTTGTGCAAGGATGACAAACACATTCATGAAGCGTCCCATATTGTTTTAGAGACTGTCCAGATGGACGGTATAGGGCTCAGGAAGCAACCAGGCCTTAGTGGAGCAGAAATCAAAAGCACACCTAGAGAGTGACACCGAAGGGCCAGCAGGTGTGCAACGGTTAAGGTTCTGGTCCTCTGCATAGTAGGCTGTGGTTGGAGTCCTGGACTCAATGGCTTCAAAGTCATGCTGGATGTGTGTGCACGTGTGCCCCAAATCCCAAGACAAGAATTGAGGAGAAGGGGTTGTGGCATAGCCATATCCCAGTGAGGTGGTTTATCAAGTCTCTCTCTGTGTCTCTATATAAAGTCTCCAGTGAGTGCAGGCAACTGATAGCAAAACTTGCACTCTTAAAAAAGAAAAAAAGACACACACACACAAAAACTGAAATAAAAATAGGATTATTTTTTTGCAGGGACCTTCACTGTGAGGAGCTGGCATGACAGTGACAGGAACTTTTCTGGATATTTCCTGCTTGAGATTAACTGCAGGGGCAGGAAAGGCCATAGAGCCTCATTTTACGCTAACTGCTTGTCCCTATATATCCTTTTTAGCAACATATTAATTTGGAAGCACTTCTTTTTAAATTATTTGGGTTTATATTTTATTTATTACTACTGCTGTTACTATTTTAAAGTTTGCTATAAGGCATATGTGCTCACCAGAGAGACACACAGAGAGAGAAGAAAGTGAGAAAATGAGTCACCATGTCAGGGATTGAACCACAATCAGCCATGTGGGAGTCTAGTACCTTAACCTACACATCACCTCCTGGCTCCATCAAAGAATGTCTTCTCTTTTTTTGGAGAGGTTTTTGCTATAGGGCACGTGCACTCGCCAGACAGACAGAGAGAGACAGAAAGCGAGAAATCATCCCCCAGGGAGGATGGCCACACCACAATCCCTTCTCCTCCATTCTCCTCTCGGGATCTTGGGCACGCACGCACACGTGCCTGGCATGAGTTTTAAGCCACCGTGTCCAGGACGCGAACCGCAGTCGACTACATGGGAGTCCAGCAACATAGCCATTACACTAACTGCTGGTCCCTCAAAGAATGTCTTCTATACCAAATCTTTTCCTAGGTGTTTGCCATACTTCACATTATTTTTAAAATATTTATTTGTTCTTTTCTTCTGAGAGGGTGTGAGAAAGAAAGAGAAAGAGAGAGGCGTCCTATGGGTCTCCAGGCCACCATTCATGCCCAGTCTCCACCAGTGCAGGTCATGGTGTGAGCAGGTGCACTCAGCAGGCTGAGGGTGAGTGAGGAGCACCCACATCCTGCTGAGTCCACAGCTATCCCAGTCGGGGTCTCAGAGTGATACCGACCAAAGGGCTGGCTAAGCTGCCGGTGCACACAGTTGCTAACTTAGGAGCACAATGGATCTTGAGAGAGTCAAGTGCTTTATTTCTATCAACTGACATGTAGAAAAAGCATGTCTCGATCTGTAATGAACAGTAGGTTCAAGCAGTTCCAGTCACGAATCAGAGTCTGGAAAATCATGGACAGGTGTGTGTGCAGGCTCAAAAATCCCACGAGGAACCCCAGAAATAAACCCCAAAGCTTATAGCCAACTGATTTTTGGCAAAGGATACCGGTCCATCCACCAGGAAAAGGAAAACCTCTTTAGTAAATGGTGCTGGGAAAACTGGGTATCCATCTGCAGAAAGATGAAACTGAATCCCGTCTTTCACCATTAACAAAAATCAACTGGGACCAGCAGTTAGCATAATGGCTATGTCGCTGATCTCCCATGTAGTTGACCGCGGTTCGAGCCCCGGACCCAGTGGCTTAAACTCATGCTGGGTGCATGTACATGCGTGCCCAAGATCCCAAGAAGAGAATGGAGGAGAAGGAATTGTGGCGTGCCCATCCCCCCTGGGGGATGATTTCTTGCTTTCTGTCTCTCTGTCTCTCTCTTTCTTTCTGGTGAGCACATGCACCTTATAGTGAAAAAAAAAAATCAACTCAAATAGTTCAAAGATCTGAACCCAAGACCTCAAACTAT